ACTTTTTCGATGATTGGGTATAAAATGATAATTCATATTTTTTTGACCCGCTCGCGAAGCTGAGCGAAATGAACGGCCCCCTATGTTGAAATTAACATTCCGGACGCACTCTCGTGGTTCGTTTCGTCATCTAGGGTCATCCAAACAAGCTCTCCTGACGATAGGGCCAATTCGAGATAATTTCGCGCACGACGCGACACGTAATATTCTTTGACCCGATAAGAGTCCTCTGATGAACAAAATGTCAATCAATCTTCGTTTAAGCGAACGCCAAAGTCCAGCAAAACGAGCCCAGCTACGTGCCCCTCAACATGTGTCGGAGGGTCTCGAGCAAATTTTTAAAGCTACAGGAAATAACACATGCATGAAGCATGACCCCGATATGCTCAGATGGACATCTCACGCGTGTGACATCAAAATTGATGCCAACAAATATTAAGTTGTTTACGTCTTATTAGCCGATTAATTGATTTTGTTTTGTCATTTTTATTTTTGTTATGGATGACCCGATCAAGATCACATGGTTCTATCATTCAGATCATTTAAGTTTGTGGTTTAATCAGTCACGAATGATTGAAAGATATTTTGTTAACAGTCATAAGTTGTCTCCTCCAAAATACCTTCTCAAATCAAGTTGCATTTTTTGTTAAAGTTTAGGTTTTAGTGACTTTTAAGGTGAATTTTATGTCATTTTTTGTTTGCTAGTTTGATAGTTTTGACCGAAATTATCCCTGGTTGAGGCTAAGTTTATTTCACTCAAACCTTTAGTCATTTAGGTTTAGATTGATTTTGAATTAGTTTAAGTTGGATTGTCAGATCCAGAGTGAGGCCCTAAGTGATCAGATTTAATTAAATTAGATTAACTGTCCATCAGGTTATTCTCAATCCTTATCTTAACCTTAATAGGATTAATCCAGGTTGGTTTAGTTTGATTAGAGTTAAACTAAACCTACTTGACTCTAGATTAACTCAAGAAAATATTGAGTTGATCCTTTATCAAATCACGTTAACTTGAAATCAACTTAAATTAAACTGGGCCGATTCAAATTAATTTTAAGTTATATCCTACTTGTTTAAAGTTCAAGATAATTTATACTTGAATCACTATTCATGTTTAAGTTGTTTTAGTCTTGAATAGATCATTAATTAAACTTATTATAAGGTTCAAGGTTGTGTCTCAAGTTGGGTCGATTTGGGTTGGACCCAAGTTGGGTCGGTTGATTTGGGTTAACCCGAGTTCGGTCGAGTTGTCTGGATGGGTCGGTTGATTTCATGTTCAATTTGAGTTAACCCTAAGGATTTAAGGTTAAGTTGGACTTTAATTAATCCTAGAAATTTAGGATTAGGGTTGGGTCTAACATGGGTTAGACCCAACATTTAGGTTCAAGTGAAGTTGAACCTAGGTTTACTTGGGTTAGACCCAACATTTAGGGTTAGGTTCAAGTGAAGTTGAACCTAGGTTTACAGTTTACTAAGTCTAATTTAAATAAGACTTAATAAGATAATCACTTCTAATGTAGGTTGGATCTAAATAGTTTTAAGGATTAATTAAGTTTGATTTAGGTAAGACCTAATGGGTTAATTATGTCTAATGTATGTTTGACCTAATTAGGGTTAAATGTTGATTAAGTCTAATTTAAGTAAGACTTAATATATTAGTTGTGTCTAATGTGGGTTACAACTAATTAGGGTTTAAATGTTAATTTAGTGTAATTTAAGTAAGACTTAATAGATTAATTAGGTCTAATGTAGGTTAGACCTAATTAGGACTTCAATGCCAATTAAGTCCAATTTAGGTAAGATTTAATAGATTAATTATGCCTAATGTAGGTTAGGCCTAATTCAGATTTAAAGGTCGATTAAGTCTAATTTAAGTGAGACTTAATAGGATAATTAGATCTAATGTAGGTTAGGCCTAATTAGGATTTAAAGGTGGATTAATTCTAATTTAAGTGAGACTTAATATGACAATTAGGTCTAATTTAAGTTAGGTCTAATTCAAGTTTAAAGGTTGATTAAGTCTAATTTAGGCGAGACTTAATAGGTTAATTAGGTCTAATGTAGGTTAGACCTAATTTAGGTTTAAAGGCGGTTTAAGTCTAGTTTATGTGAGACTTAATAGATTAATTAGGTCTAATGTAGGTTAGACCTAGTTCGGGTTTAAAAGGTGATTAAGCCTAATTTAGGTGAGACTTAGTAGGTTAATTAGGTGTTATGTAGGTTAATCCAAACTAGGGTTTAAAGGTTAATTAAGTCCAATTTAGGTGAGACTTAATATGTTAATTAGGCCTATGTTAGACCTAATTAGGGTTTAAAGATTAATTAAGTCGAGTTTAAGTGAAACTTAATAGATTAATTACGTATAATGTTGCTTAAACCTAGTTAGGGTTTAAAGATTAATTAAGTTGAAATTATGTGAGACTTAATAGACTAATTAGGTCTAATGTAGGTTAGACCTAATTAAGGTTTCAAGGTTAATTAAGTATAATTTAGGTGAGACTTAATATGTTAATTAGGTGTACTGTAGGTTAGACCTAATAAGGGTTTAAATGTTAATTAAGTCTAATTTAGGTGAGAGTTAATATTTTAATTATGTCTAATATAGGTTCGACCTAATTAGGTTTTAAAGGTTAATTAAGTTTAATTTAATCGAGACTTAATAAGTTAATTAGGTCTAATGCAGGTTATACCTAATTAGGGTTTAAATGTTAATTAAGTCTAATTTAGGTGAAACTTAATAAGTTAATTATATGTAATATAGGTTAGACCTAATTAGGACTTAAGTTTAATCAAGTCTTATTTAGGTGAGACTTAAGTTATGTTTGGGGCAGCAGTGAGGTGGCACATCGCAGTTTTTTTTGTTTAACAAAATTGTATTTTGCCAGTTTTCTTAAACAAATACAACTAAAAGTTGCGTTCACATCAGATCTGACTACCTGCGGTGGCTGCTAAAAAGCTACGGTATGATATATATATATATATATATATTATGTTCGATGTTTAT